GCTGCCGATGTGGCAGGCTCGCCGCGCCGCTCGCCGCGACAGCAGGCCGCCCCAGTGCGCTCCCCGCGGTTGCGCGATTGCGCGAAGGCGCGGGCCCGACAGGAGGGGGAGGGAGGGGGGGGGAGGCGCGCCGGGCTGTCCGAGGGGCGGCGCTGGAAGGGCGGAGGAGGAGGGGGGAAGGAAGGAAGGAGGAGGACCCCCCGCACCCATTCTCCCGCCGAAGGGGTGGGGGGGTTCTGGACACTCCCGCGATTTTTCAAATTTTCCCGTGGGGGGGGGGCGTTCCAGACCCCCTCCCTCCAGTTCCTTTTGGGGGGGACCCTCCCCATCCCTTGCCAGCAGAGGCAGAAAACGCTCTTTTGATAACTTAAGGCGGCCTCATGACGGACCTTATAGACGGCCAGAAGAAGGCCCGAAGCTATCCCAAGAGGGCCTCCATAGAGATCCAGAATTGCCTTAGAGGGCCCCATCGGTGGCCCAAGAAGGCCCCAAGACGACTCCACGGCGGCCCCACGACCACCCTCCCCCCGAAAAGCCGCCACCCAAGATACTGGGCTGACACGGTTACGGGGCTTGTCCTATGCAGTTGGATATAATAATCCGATGCTGAGACGATGCCCGGCGAAACAGCGCTTGTAATTACGATGCGGTGAGGATGGACCAGCAGATCCCAAACCAACATACAAAGAGGATTGTGCAAGGGTAGCTCACTTCAGAGTTGCACTGGCATCTGCAAATGTCTCGCGAATGAGGGGAACATAATTCGAGCATTGCTATATTTGGGGTGCCACTCCAAAGCAATCTCCAAGAAATGATACGCATGTGCGACCCAGAAGGCACACTGCACGACAACATCACATGTGTATTTCACCTTCACCCCTTTGGAAAGTGAAGGAACCCGTCCGTTTACACATGTCCTGCACCTGAACCCCTGGCCCCGCCGAAGATTACATCAACTGGTGGCTCATAGTTTGCTTCCACTAGCTATACGTCCGCGCGCCTCCCTCCCAAAAAGAGAAGCCATCCCCATCGACCCCTCTAAGGCCAGGCACTTTCTTGGACTCCTCACATGGGCAGAAGCATCCAAATTGAACTGCCTTCGCTCTCAAATGTACAATCGCCTCTCTCTTCCTGGCGCTGTTTCTCGGTTCCGCTGCTTCGAGTGGAGCTCGAGCCAGCAATCCTAGTCGCAACGTCTATCTGGCGACGAGAGCGCTTGCGCCCGTTGGGGCAGCTGAGGAGAAGCGAAGACCTCCTCTTCCTCCTCCTCCTCGCCTTCTCGCCCCTTCTCGTCACCCACCCCTCCCACTCTTCGTCGTCGTCGCCTCTTCTAAAAGGGAGCAGGTGCGCGATTGTCGGTGGGCCGATGCAGTGACTGCGGCAGCTGTGCAGACACGCAAAGGCAGGTGTTACAGGGTGAGCTTGCGGGGCAAAGGACGGGGGCAACTCATACCTGAGTCGATGGGCGGGTCGCCAGGTGGGAGCCCGGGCGAAGGGGTGGGGTGCGCCGCTCCAAGAAGCGGGCCTTTTAGAAAAGATCGCCCGGTCGAAAATCATACGCCCCACGCCGTCGAAGAAGCGGGGGGACGACTCTCTGAGACTGCCGCCCCCTCGTTGAATGAGGGAAATGTTGGAGGCCTCGCGCGGCAACTTGAGACCCACTTTGCATTGCGTTCACGTCGGGCTCACGTCGGAACATCGCCGTGAGAACGTCACCCCATGTCTCACTTGAGCAGGGACCGACCGTCGCGGTACTCCTATAGCCCTACCACGAAATGTTCTTAGAACCCACACATGTTCGAAAACCAAAGCACTGTTCTTAGAACATAAGCCCGATGTGTTAAAGCAAGACGATCTTCACCAGAAATGTTATAAGACCATTTCTTGGAAACCGCAACAGGTTCTTAGAACACTGTCTGGCAGGGCTATAGGCGAGCCAGGACGCGTCGCCACTGCTGGTCTCACGGGGCGGAAGTGCGGGCCGAATGGCGCGACTACTGCGCGCCGCGCGTGGCCTCCAGGATTTCCTCCATAGCTCGCCCACCCTGCCCCCGCCTGCGCCCCGCGAGCACCGCCACACGTCGAGTAGGGGATCTACCAAATAATTGATATACCCCAGAATCAAGTTCCTCGTGGAATCTACTGAGAATTCACAACGTTCTCAATCTATGTACGGAATGTCTACGTATTCCTCGTAGATTCGATGGGACAAATCAATTTGGGGGTAAATCAATTCTGTAATCGATCCCCTACTCGAACACGCACCCACCTCACCGTGAGCGCGACGGGCCCCAGGCCGGCTCGAACGGCGGGGGAGCGCGAGCGAGAGGTCCCCCGTTGAGTATCGTTTAACCGATCCGCGTCCCCAGTGGCCTGGGCCCCACTGGCCGATTTACCCCCCTAGACGGGGACATATAGGCAGTTCCCTCCGAGCTTCGAGGGGTGTATCCCCAACTGGGGTGGCAATCTGGTGGGGGTCTCGAAGGGGAATGGGGATGGGGATGGGGATCGGTTAAACGGTACTGACCCGAGGCCGGGGGGGGGGGGGGACGCGTCCCACGAAGGGGGCGCCCCAGGGGGGGGGGCCGCTGGCAAGTCGTGACCCGAGGTTCGGCCCTATCGGCGGTGGACAAACCTCCATGTAGTAAACCTGCCTCTAGTAAACCTCCCTCTAGTAAACCTCCCTTTAGTAAACCTCCCTTTAGTAAACCTCCCTTTAGTAAACCTCCCTTTAAACCGACGGACCCGGAACCGCAAAAATAACGGCCGCGGCGCCCTCTCGCGAACCGAGTACGGCCAATTCACTAATCGACGTGTCAGGGTTAGGAGGTCTTTCAATCTCCGAATCTACTGGGAGGTGTTTTCTTTGGAAGGATTCGGGAGAATTGAGCCCCATTTGGAGGGCTGCTGCGCCGAATTTCGCCGCGCATCAAGCGGGAGTAAGCCGGATGAAGCGGGATTGCGCTGCATCAGCACGGATCGAGCCTGATTAGGCCAGATTTCGGACCAGGGTAAAGGCAGAATTGTACCTCCCAGGAATGGCATCTGAACCGAGGCAGGTGCGTGGGCCAGGGCGGGGGGCAGGGGACGTACTCGTGCCGTCGGTTTGGAGGTCTCCATGCCCCGTGCACTGGCTAATTTCGCGCGCGCTTCTTGCTTGGGGCCCTCACGATGACCACCAGGATGCTCTGGGATGGTCCAGATTTTCCGGTGCTGGCCTCGCCGAGCGAAACGCACAGGTCCGAGCGATACCAAGCTATCCCGCGGAGCAGCACATGGCATACACCTAAACTTTCGGAGTTCCGCGCGGATCTCTTGGATCGGCGCTGGAGCCCCCCTGGCGGCGTCTCCAGCGCCGCCCCTGGCGCGTTGTGCTGAGCTGATGCAATGTGTTGATAGTCGGGGGAGGGGGCTTTTCCAACTAAGAAGATGGGCTCTGTGATCTGGGGAGACATCGTGGCCCCGCCCATGATATTCCCCGTCAGGACGCAAATCCTGAGAGGTCTTCGACGGAACCACCAGGGGCAATTACGCCCAAGGGTCCATTGATCTGAATTAGGCAAGAAACCCGTGATTGAATTGTGTGAACCGGACTTATGTCAGATTAAACGGGATCGAGCTGGACAACGGGGATGACACCAGATTCGGCCAGTTCTCGACCAGGGAGATGCCAGCGCCGATGCAGAACTCAACCTCGCAGGGAGTTGCATCCTAGCCCCCGCCTGGTCATCTCGCCCCCCTCTTGGCCGCCCCCGACCCGCGGCCGGGAGGCTGGTGGGGCGGTGCCTCTGGCGACACAACGTCGACCCTGGAGCTCCCGCCCTGGAGCTCCCTGGAGGAGCGCTGCAACGTCGCATTCGGCGAGATTCAGCAGGCCGCGCACCAGGTGTCCGCTCCAGGGAGGAGGAGGCGGAGGAGGAGGAGGAGGAGGAGGAGGAGGAGGAGAAGGAAGAGATGAAGGAGGATGAGGAGATGGAGGAGGAGGGGGAGGAGGATGAGGAGGAGGAGGAGGAGGAGGAGGAGGAGGACGAGGAGGAGGACGCCCTGGAGCTCTCGCCCCGGGGCGTCTTTCGACAGGCCTTGGCCAGGCCCCCTAAAAAGGGACACGGGTAGCGCAGGGCACTCGCACAGAAAGCTGCAGCCGTGGGTGGAAGCCCTACGTACCCAATCCTCGTCGTCTTCTCCAACTGGAATTTTCAATTCACTGGTTCCTGGGGCCGTCCACCAAAGGTGTTCCAAGAGGTATTCCGTGACAGACGCATCCTGCCGCTGCAGTTTTACAGCTCTTCTCGTACAGAGGGTCATCGCTTCGTTTGCCGGGGAAAGAATGGTTTCGGGGGCTCTGATTTGGGGTCCACACGTGGGCTCTGGACGCCAAGAGCTGCGACAGTTGTCCACCGCCGGCGCTTCCTGCTCGAATCGCTCGGGGGTGCTGGGAAGAGAAGGCGCGAGGCGGGGAGGCTGGCGCGAGGCACGGCGCCCAGGCATCCGACGAGGCGATTGCTCCGCGCGCGGCCCCAGGAGGTCCCGACCCCTTCCCCCATGGAGGTGGTTCGACCCGGATCCGTGCGTGACGACCCCCGGGCCCACGAAACGACCCCCCCAAGAAGCCAAACTCGAGGAGCGACGCCCTGATTCAGAGGCCTCCGAGATGGGGTCGGAGTGAATGGGGTCGGAGGATCGCGCCGCATCGCCGATGCATCGGCGATACACCGTCGATGCATCGGCGATGCATCGGCGATGCAAAGGGGATGCATCGTCGACGTTGGCGATGCCTCGGCGACGTCGACGTGACGCAAATCGGGCTGCACATCGAGCCGCATCGGCGATGCATCGGCGATGCGGCGCGATCCTCCGACCCCATCTCCTCCGACCCCACCCAGGAGGCCTAGCGGATTGGGAAAAAACAGGTCGCCGGAGCTCTGGGCGCGCGGAAGGGGGCGGGGGAGGGGACGATCTACCAAACGCACAGGCCCTGGGGGGCGGCGGGCGGCCTGCCCTCAGCGGGCCAACCTGGAGGTCAAGCGCATCACGACCTGTCGAGGACTGGGGCGGCTGGAGGGCCGCCTGTGTTGTTGTTGCTGCTTGATGTTGCTTGATGCTGCTGTTGTTGTTGTTGCTGCTGCTGCTGCTGTTGTTGGTATCGTCGTTGTCGTCGCCGTTGCCGCCGATCGGGGAGTGGCGATGTTTGCGGGCGGTGCCGCCCGTCCCCGCCGTCGCATAGTTTTTCTTCAAAAGAATAAATCGATCCCCCCCAGGGAATGTCGGCTCAACTTTTCGTATTGCAATTCACATACGAATTTGCCCCATCGTCCATCCTGGATACGAACTCGTACTATCCCAGCCGACTGGTCTCGGCACCCCAGCCATCCCCTGCAAATGAATATGCGAGCGCACTCGTTTATCACATATCAGAAGTTTTCAAGATGCCCTTGCGGTAAAAGTAAATGAAGTGTACACGCGCTCTCGCGATTTCGTAAGGATTCCCAAATCGAGTGTCAACAAAAACATATCAGACCACAGGGATTGCAACGCGACCATCCCTGTGGTACACTGCTGCAACATGGCGGCGGGGTTGTCGGCATGATGCATGGCGTATGCACCCGCAATGACTTTGCAGTGGCCTTCGCACAACCAATATTAAACCCCTCCCACGATCCCTGTGATCGAATATGAAACGTGATCGCCGGAGGTCCGCTCATGATCAATGTCTGCCTGCGGCGTGTGCTGAATATGCTTGCTCGTTGCCGGCAGGGGTCATTTGCGTGGGGACCTCAAAGTTCATGGTCGGCAGACATTCGAGCAGGGGAGAGGGTGTCCAACAAGGAAAAAAGAGACATGGGATATTCAATCCTAGCGGCATGCGTTGTTCCTTCCGAGCCCGAGTACGAACAGGACGGCGGCTCAGGCTGCTCTATCCGTAGTGATCGCGCGCCGCGCCCTTCGACTGAATTGCTACGGTTTGCTCAAGTTTGTTCCTGAATTGCTACGTTGAAGCTGGTGCCTTCTCGCAGTACGTGCACAGCGGGGGTCGCGCGTGAAGCGCTCCCGAAAACCAAAGCATTAAGGCCCAGCGGGGCTGCCAACGATCTCCAAAACACTGTGGCGCCAGGAAGCGCGCTAGGGACCCCCGAGTAGGAGCATCGACGCATCGGGGATGGACAGACCTCCCTTTAGTAGAACGTGGTTTAGTGAAAACGACTTCGGGCCCAAACCTGGCGGGCGCAAGCCTGGAAAATAACGGCCGCGGCGCCCTCTCGAAAACCGAAAACGGACAATTCACTAATCGACGTGTCACTGTTGGGGGTTCTGTCCACCCCCGAACGCATATGTCCTAGAGTGGTGTTCAACAAGGGAGATCGATGGGCCACGAAGGCGGAATGGCATGGGAGGAACTAGGGAAAACGGATGACACCATCTGAACCTCGCTGAAAAAAAAACTCTTGCTCCCCACTCATCTTCACCGTGATCATGTTGCTCCTCCTCCCTGATCCACCCCCTTATCGTTCTGCGCTCCCCCTTCCTCTCCTGCTACCCTTCCTCATGCTCCACCTCACGCTGCCTCCTCATCACCCTCCCCCTCCACATCCCCTCATCCCCCTCCCGCGCATGCATCTCATCCTCCTCCTCCTCCTCCTCCTCCTCCTCCTCCTGCTGAACCGTTGATAAAGGCACGAAGGTCGTACCGGCGTTGCCTCCGCCCCTCCCCCCGAGGGGCAGTTGGGGGGTCGATCAAACGGCGACCTGTAGAACAAGATGTGCCAGAAAGACAGACAGACCCATCATGTGCGGGGTAACTAGGTCCCCCAACACCCTGGGGGGTGAGAGGAGAGAGAGAGAGAGAGAGAGAGAGAGCGAGAGAGAGATAGAGAGAGAGAGAGGGCTCCTCCTCCTCCTCCTCCTCCTCCTCCTCCTCCTCCTCCTCCTCCTCCCCGTCGTCCCCCTCCCACTCCTTCACCCTCTCCTTCTCCTACTACCTCTTCAATGCCGCCCCACCTTTCCCGCCTTCCCCTCTTCATACAGTCAACCCGTATAGTAAGGATGCGCAATAAGGATGCAAGGGCCTTGCCCGCCGATTTCGAAGCTTTCCGAGCGCGGGGCGGCCAACGAAAGTGGCCAAGGATGGAACGAGGAGGCAAGGATGCAAGGGTACCCTTGGGAAGGTTCCCCTTTCACTCATCCACCTTCCTTCACTAATCAACTTTCCTCATCCCTCGCCTATTGCTGCTACCATTCCCCTCATCCTCTGCACACCTGCCCGTCGTCCCTTGTTTTCCTGCCGCGCTCCCACGTGCCCCAACTCCTCGTCCTCCTCATCATCACACTTCATCCCTTGTCGTGTTCCACGCCATGCAACTCTTCACCTCGAACACCTCGTTCTCCTCGTCATGAGAATACTCCTTCTCTTTCTCCTCCTTTGCCGTGGGTTTCGCTGCAAGCCAGGCGGGCTCTGACGATCTATCCCGATCGAAAGAAAACGTGGTGCTGATAGAATAACTATCACTGTCGCCATGGAACGCGCTTCCAGCTCAAACCACCCCCCCTGAATGTGCTCCCCATGCTGTCCTTACCTATTCCGCCTCCCCTCGCACGTATCAACAGCCTCCTCTTGCTCACCCTGTTCCTCCCCCATCCGTTTTCCTCATCCTCCTCCTCGGTGACCTTGGTGGAAATGCCGACCAGGAGAAGCAGCTATTGGACAAGATAAGCGACGAAGATGAGAGGAACAACAACGCGAGCCTTCGAGTCCAGCTTCACCCCGGGCGCACTGCGCAAGTCCTTCCCGGGCCCCTGTTCAAGCGATACTGGGAGATCCGTGGTTCCCAGAAGTACGCCCCCCCGCGCCAGTCAATATGGATTCACGTCGGCGGCATGCACATCGGACATTTGTTCCTTGCGGTTTTGACTCACACCTCGACCGCGCGCGCTGGGGCGAGCGGAGCAGTGTGAGCGACCCACGAACAACACCTCACGCCACAGCGGAGTGTGCGACGCGGCAGATTCTGGGGCAGCGCTGAGGCGGCCCAATTGCAGGCTGCGAGCATTTTCTCTTGCGGCCATCGCGTGGCTGCCCTCACGAGCGGCGAACATGACCGTCTCCGCGCCCTCGCGGTCTGGACTCCCGGGCGCGATCCCGCGGTAACGCGGTCCCACGGCTGAATTCCGCGCGGGGCATCCGCGAACCAAAAGCCCCGTAACCGCGAGGTCTCGGCCTGGGGGCCTGGCCCGCGAGGCCGCGAATGCGGATACTTTTCGCCCACGAGTTGTGACGGGCCCATTGCAGGCTGCGAACACCTTCCCTCGCGGTCATCTCGTGGCTGCCGGGCGTCCGCGCATCGGCAGCCGCCACACCTTGGGCACCCACCGTCGCCGCCTCCCTCGCGGCGCACGGGGCTGGCGCTCGACGGGCGCTGACTGGCCCGCAGGCGCGTCGCTCAATTCTGCCTGGGGGCACGAGGACAGCGACCCATCGGATGGAGCGGAAGCACCCTCGCCATCATAGATCCTTGGGCACATACTCGCCCTGTGGGGGCGACAGGACTCCCCAGGGGTCGCCGGAGCCATCGACATCGGGGAATCATGCACTGCCTCAGGGCACCTGCTGGCAGGCTGCGATGCTCAGTTAATGTGCCCAAGAGCGCGGGACGCATCCTTTAACCGCACGCTGTGCTCGTACTTGGCGGAAGTCCACCTCTGCATGAGTGTTCAGCCAGTGGTCCAGAGCGCCGCACAGAGGCAATCGTGAAAAGGCAGCGCGGGTCGAGACAAGCGCTCCGCATCACTTCGCTTTTTCTCTCTCTCTCTCTCTCTCTCTCCCTTTCTCTCTCCCTCTCTCTCTCTCTCTCTTTCTTACGCTCGCTCTACCTCCCCGACCTCTTGTTTCCTCTCTCTCTCTCGATCTCCCTCTTTCTCTCTCCCTCTCCCTCTCCCCGTCTCCCTCTCTCTGGCGCCCCCGCGCACGGCGCTGCCCGCCAACCTGCCCGGCGCTCCGCCGCCGCCGCCGGGGACGAGCCTCGCGCCCTGGAGCCCCGACTCTCTGCGCCCGGGCCCGGCGGCAGTGCCACCGCTCGGGCGTCTCGGGAGGCCTCTGCTGCGCGGGCCCCGGCAGGCGGAGTGGACTTCCGGCTCGAAGGACCAGACCTGGGCACGCGAGCCCGCATCATGCCGTCTCTGCTTTTTCCCCATATCCTAAGGATTGGGGTTCTTGTTATTACTCTGACGCCTCCCACTCCTCCTCCTCCTTCTTCCTCCCGCCTCCCGCCTCCCTCCTCCCAATGATAATCACCAGATAAGACAAGACAAGATAAGATACTACAAGATAAGATAAGATAGCACAATATATGATAAGGTAAGATAAGATATATGACAAGGTAGGATAATATATAAGATAAGACAGCCTATGGAGTAATAAGATAAGACAAGATATGATGCGATAAGATGAGTTGATATAAGATAAGCTAATACAAGATAAGAGATTTCAAGATAAGATAAGATAGAGGGTAATAAAGGTAAGATAAGATAGGACTCGATAAGATAAGATGAGACTCACTCTCACTCAGACTCACTCACAGTCACATTCACTCACACTCACACTCTCTCATGATCACAAAACGCTGCCAGGGGCATCATTTGGGAGCCCCAAGGGGGAGCCACCCTGGCTGATCTCACGAGCCCGTTCGCGCCGATTTTGGTGGGACGCCTCAGCTAGAATTGCCGTTTGGCGTCCCCCTCCCGCCTCCCGTCTCCCTCCTCCCAATGATAATCACCAGATAAAACAAGACAAGATAAGATACTACAAGATAGGATAAGATAGCACAAAATATGATAATGTACGATAAGATATATGACAAGGTAGAATAATAGATAAGACAAGACAGCCTATGGAGTAATACGATAATACAAGATATGATGCGATAAGATGAGTTGATATGGAATAAGCTAATACGAGATAATAGATTTCAAGATAAGATAAGATAGAGGGTAATAAAGGTAAGATAAG